TTACAGTATGGCTGAGAATAACATGGGAGCCAATAGCCGACCATGCGAGCAACAATTGAAAGCTGTGTATTCAGCCCACTCTGGCAAAATAAATATCAGTGCTTGAATATCCGTAGTGAGCATACAGCACAATGGAAAAATACAAATGCTGCAGACGTGGGTTGGGCTGTTACTCTGACATCTTGATCATTTGTTTCACTATGAAGCTGGCTCAACAAAGGAAATGAAACAGCTGTAGTCATCTGCAAATGAGTGCTCCAAACTTTTCAGAGCCACCTTCCAAGTCTACTGGTGGTAATTGCTTGTTACCACTAGCTTGTTAATCACCACAGAAAGTCTACATATTTAGTTCCTAAAAACAAACTTTTAAGTGACGATTACACAGTAAGTACAGTGGCAGTATCCACCCATTGGAAAATGGGGATTGGACTTGTGGGTCCACACGGCTGTGGCCTGTCTTGGTTCGATATGAGCTAACAAATCACATTCCCTAAAATGCCTGTTTCCTAATGCTCATGCTCATACATTTGGGGGTGTCCTAATTTGCTTTTCTTCCACCCCCAATGCTTTGACAAATGTAGCAAATTAACTGTAACAAATTCTCCACCTGTTCCAGTAAAACCACGTTTATGTGAAAACTTGCGTGAACAGGCATAATTGAAGAAACAACAGATGAGCTGCAATATGCAGCGGTAGCTTGTGCACAGAGAAAATATGAGCAAGATTCCCTGCTGAAGCGCCCTCGAGCAAGACACTGAATCCCACTAGATCTATGGCTGATCTTCAGCAGTTGACCCGGACCTCTGTCCCTCGTGCATCCCTTGCGTACCCACACCATCTCTGAGGGATTCTCTCTCTCTCTCTCTCTCTCTCTCTCTCTCTCTCTCTCTCTCTCTTTATCTCTCTTTTAAAGAATGCCTGTACAATCACTAAGTTGCAGGTACGTCATAAACCTGCACCCAGAAAGACCCTGTCTGGACCAGGACCAGTGCCAGCCACCAAAGCCATCATCTCACCCTGTGAACAGTCTATTGTACCACGCATTTGTAAAAGACACTTTCGCATGGGATAAAGTACCATATCGGAGGGACCACAAATACTTAACACATATGGGATTTGAAACTATGACCCCACCACTTAGAAACGCATGCAAGCATAAAGACCTATACCACCATTGCACTGATCACCCAACAGAGAGTGTTTCTAACCATAACTCTTTCTCTACATATGTGTGACATATCACACATATAAATAGTGATTACTTTGATGTCTCTACAATTCGAGTACTTGATTAGGAGTTTGTTCTCCCCCATTCCCTCTGTTCATATCACCTGTCTGTCTGTGAATTAACTGATAGAAGCTGGATTGAAGAGACAGAAGATCAGAAACTTAAGAGAATCGAGGTAAGCTAAATCGCATAACTTATTTCAACAAGATTAAATATAAGGACTTTTACTGTGGAAGGTTGAATATTGCAATGCTCACATTTGTGTATTGTTTTTTTGTAGAAATGAACTACAAACAATGAGGTGTGCCAATGGAGGCTAGGAATTAGGCTTATTTAGACCACAATGTATTTTATATTTATTACTTTGGGAAAATATGCTTACTGCCAGGTCAGCGCATACCGCCTTACTCTTTCCATTTTTACTTTTGACATTTAAAGCCCGAGACATAAATACGCTGCATCACTGCATATGAGGGTGAACTTAAATTCACTCCTAGCATTTTGCTTAGAGGTAACTACACAGGAATAGCAAACAATATGTCCTTCTCACAAAAGTGCATGTATGTATTATGGATGGTTGGATGGCGGGACAGCAATGACGTAATGAACGGGGCAGAGACAATTACATGAAACAATGAGCTCACTATATAGTCCTCTACAAAGAACGTCCTGCAGTGAGTGAGTAGTGAATGAGTTAAGGATTTCTGACACTCAGTACTTCGAGACATCGGTATTTCAAATGCAATGCCAAGTGTACATTTCCCATGGATATTTTGTGGCAGTCTTTTTTCCTTTGGCACAGCCAAGGAGTCCTTGCATGACATACTGATGTAGAGCTTTCCAACAAGTGACTCAATATCCACTGACAGCTGGTGGCAGGGTGCTTGCAGGTGTTCTGAGCTGTGTGAGCTGGGCAATTAACTTTCAGAATGTGATTGTTGGCACTGCTCAATAACTGGTAAACAGAGCGGCGTTTTCCAAAGCTGACATTATCTGCTGCATATGCTGTGATGTGTCTAATATCCAGTGCATGCTTTTCCAGACAGTTCATCATTTCATGTGTCATCACCGTCTTCATAAAAGTCAGGTAACTTGCGCTGCACTCATTTAGACGCGGAGGAAAATCTCACACACACTGGAAACATTTTTCCCATTTTGTTTGTTTGAGACATCGGCGGCAACTGAGAAATACACATCATCCAAAATATCCTGCAGTCTTTGGTCCTTGAGCATTTATTGTAATCATCTCAGCTTTCGTTCCTCCCAAGAGCATCTTCTTCACAACATTTGAGTCATGAAACAAAGCTGTGTTTAACTTAACAAGACAGTCCTTGTTTCACCATATGGTACACATGCGGGGCTTAGCATATGTCACGAAGAACGCACCGATATTGCTTGCATCTACAACTAGTGTCACACGCACCTCCATGGCCAATTGAGAATTCCCGACGGCATAAATTACTGAAGGCTTTCGTCGAGTCAGCTGAAGGGCTTACACCAAGTCTTTCTTGCTTCTCATTGTTTGTTGTAGCTGCACAGTCTTTTCTTTTCTGTATGTTAATCCATATTTGCACAAGCCAAAACAACCGAACAACACCAGACATTAGCAGGAATTGGCGCATTTACGCTATACACAACTGATGTGCATACGGGGGCCTGTGATTGGATGACAGATGGTCTCCACTGTGACATGATCAGCACACAATCTCCTACTGCTGCTGTATCAGATCTAGGATCTGTACGAGTGCCGGCTGCTGATCAGGGTAGAGTAAAATTTAGGGGCAGGCTGTTCACTGTTAGTAGCTATACCTAACTTAATTTGTAATCCATGTAACCGTGGGCCAGGACAAGTGACGCAGCATGAAAAACGACAAGTTCTGCATAAGGAGGAAGACGGTGTGGATGGATGGGTCTGAAAACGCCAGAGCAACCCAGGAGACCGCTGTTTATGTCTTGAGTAAAACCAGAAATAAAGGTATTTGTCACATAACACCACTTCCGTAGCTATTTAAACCCAAACCACAATATTCTCCTAAACCTAACCAAGTAGTTTTGTTCCCAAAACACCGCAGGCGCTTGTGCAAGGGGAACTGATCACTTGTGTTGCTAGACATTCATAGGAAAGCACACGAAAAAACCCCAAATAACTTTCTTATCATATATATATTAAGATATCATACCGTACGTTGATACGGGACAAGGGAGGTCATGTGTGGGACAAACGAATTTAGCCCAATGTAGGGGATGTGCGGCTGATCCGGGACAATTGGCAGCCCTGCTTATTACACATTCAGCAGTTACGGAGCAACATTAGCATTCATTTGTTTCTGGCCACCTAATGAATATCTGTTTGGCTCTGTTTTGGTCTCTACAAATTTCAAAGAAGAATATGTGTTTTTTCTTGCTAATGTCCCCACTATGTTCTCGAGATGGAAAAAGTATCAATACTGTTGCATGCAGTTTAATCTAATCTCAAGTTAAGTACCTCAAAATTGTATGAATTTGAGCAAATATACTTATTTACTTTCCCAAACAGCGATCAAAGATGGCAGCCAAATAACACTGTAGCATCAATGAAAATATGTAGTAAAAAGATAATAATCACCTGTTGATAGTTATAAAGCATCTGCATAAGCACCTGTCTGAATGAATCACCTTTTAAAAAGTTTTTTTTATATTTTGTTTTTGTTGACCACAGCTCTTTTAAAGTGCACACACTGGCATTACTATATTACACTCTGCACATGCCCAAATGCAATTAAGAATAAGTCTTTATATTATTGGTAAACATGAAAATAAATATGATGGGTAAAAAATAAACTGGCAGAATTTTTCACTGCCCCGTCAGTCACAGTGATGGATTACACTGCAACCCCCGGCTGGGGCGTCACTCTGACAGACTGAAACGTGGTTCTCCACTCTGATAGCTGGCTGAGCCGAGCTGCAGACGAGGGAAGAAAACAAATGGCACCTCGGCAGCCAAACCCTCCCCGTATAGTTCCTCCACCATTTCCCAAGTGCGGCGCGGCTGCTGGGTACAGTAACACAGAAAACATCAGCAGGTTTTAAGACACAAGGTGGCCAATCGCCAAAGTATCCCTTTAATACTCAGCAAATCCAGTCTGAAACCCAATTATTTTTTATAGACCACAGTGATGATGGGACAGGCCTTGTCATCATAAAAAGCCATTCAGTGAAAGGCTGAAAGCACTGCAGTGAATGGGTGGAGTTACAGTAATGGTCCTCGAGAGGCTTAAATGGTGCTCTTTCAGAAGATCAACTGGCATCTTGGAGAATCATGTGCACACTTGAGACTTGATGTGATAGGAGATAGTATATAGAAATGTGACCTGTGCCTTAAAGAGCTCTGAGGTACTGCACGTGTTATACCGACAGTCCTCTGAAGGAACAGACCTCTCACTTTTCCTCAGAATGCAGTGAGCTAAATGTTAGTCCTCAGACCATGCAGTCCTCAAGGGAGTTTTTCCACCCATGAAAGAGGGCATACAAACATGGAGAAGATGTCAGAATGTGGAGGAGGCTGGTGCTGCTTTGTGTCTCCCTGCGGACCGGGATGGGACATCTCTGTGTATTAATGAGCATCATCGCATACAATTTGGGATTTATATCCTGGGAGCTCAAAGTTTTTTTCTCTCACTTTGCAGAAGGAATTGGGGCACTGTGTGTGTGTGAGAGAGAGAGAGAGAGAGAGAGAGAGAGAGAGAGAGAGAGAGAGAGATGGAAACATTGGAACTCAAGGCAACTCCGGGTGCAGCAGCAGTGTTTCCTTCCATGGATTGAAGGGAGGAAATCCTCTTCTTCGGCGTCGCCTGCAATGCAAATGGTGCCGACCGGGACAGAATAAGGCTGCGTTAACACACTCATCTGTAACAAACACCTGACTTTGCGAGGACGGGAAGCTTTATTATTTAAAAAAAAGATTTTTTTCCTCGAGCCCGAGGTGCCAGGCATCACCACTGACAATTTCCCAGCGCCCTCCGCAAAGGCTCATACAGGTGACAAGTGTGTCCAACTTCACCGCATCGCCCGCGTCGTCGACGCGCTCAGAGAGTGCTTTCTCCGGCGGCAGCGCGCGCTGCGTGAGACCCGTCGCTCTTGTTTTGACGTGACATTTTGAGCTGGAGCTGCAGTGCACATGTGGCCACGTATGACGCATATGCGCCTTCAGCTGTTTGGTTAAAAAAGAAAAAAAAAAAAAAAAGCCGGCGTCGGACGCTGGAGTGTTGAGTTGTCGGGCAAGTTGCTGATTGGTATGTTCGTCATGTCCGCCTGGGCTAACTTGCGCGTCTCTCTGTAGAGTCGCACAGAGCTGCGGTCGGGGCAGAAGTTGCTTGGGAATAATAACAGTGCGAAGAGGTTGATGTGAGCGGCTGAATTTACTACAAGCATCATCAGCGTCTCTGTGTGCGGATCAGGACTGCGGGGGGACCGCTGCCGCTCACCGCTCTTCATCTACATACTAACAGTTTTTTTTTGCAGAAGCCTGCCAGTAAATTTCAGCTCCTGAGACCACAGCTGCGTAAACTTGGCCATATCTGGTGACATTGTACCCTCTCTGTGTGTATGTGCGTGCGTGCGTGCATGGGCGCATGTGTGTGTGTGTGTGTGTGCGCGCGCTGAGCAGCCTGGATGGATATGCGGCTCACCGAGGGAATTTGAAAAGCAAGGGGGGATTACTATCGGTCCCTCTCCTTTTATAACCTCAAAATGGATGCCGACGACAGCCTGTGGAAACGCCAGTGGATTAGCCACTCTTCCGCCGATCTGATTGACATCTGAGCGGCACGAGCGTTCAAAGTTTGGATAATCTGTAAAAGAAAAAAAAAAAAAAAGGCTCAAGGTGTAGGATGCAGTCTGGAGTGAAGACGCTCTCCGCAGGTGGAGGTGCGTCACTCTGCTGCCTGCTGCTCCTCTGGCTCATCTACTCCCATCTGCTCAGAGAGGGTAAGGACACTTCTAGTTGTCGTTTTCTTTTTTACTTTGTCAGCACCACCATTGTCTCTGAGGGCTACTTATTGGGATGCAGCTGCACATGGTGTGGTCGGATCCTGTGCTGCTTAGAAGAAATTCCCATGATGTCTAGTAAAATGTGTCTGTGCTCATCGCCAGTCAATTTATGGTGACCTTGTTGTGCCTTGTGGTGCCTTGTGGTATTTATGTAATCTGATTGAATACAATAATCTTCCTTTAGTGAATGGATGGTACTCAGCAGCAGGCCTGCTGTGACATTATTGAACTATTCTTTATTGGTATATTACTTGTAATATAGGGCTGTGGCCATATTCTCACAATAGTATAATGTAGAACCTTGTTGTTGAACTAACCCTGTGGTTTTCCTGATTCTGATGCCGGCTCTTTGCCTTGTGTGATGATGATTTAGTGCAGCCATAATTGAGCTTCAGGTGACACAACACAGTTTGATTGCTATAATTCCCAGTGCAGACAGGAGGAGGCCCGACTCCTGCCTTCAAAGCTTTTATATTTTCACTCAGGTTAAGGCTATATCCATCCATGCCCTGCTTACCTCTTGAATAATACATCTGCTGGTGCAATTACACCTCCACCCTGACACAGAATAGAAAGCAAAAGGATGTTTCCCTGCACTTCATTTGGCTGCTGTCCACAACTAAACATTTCGGATTCCGGTGGCGTCAACGACCCACCGAGAACTGGCTTAAAGCACTGGAACTTGTTGGGAGATGTCGAACACTAAGTTTGCAGATTCGATCTTTTAATCAAGCATTGGCCAGCAGCATAATTACCGCTGTGGAGGAGGGATAGTGCCTACATCAATGTCTTTGGCAGCTTGCCGGGAACAAAAGTAGACACTGATGTGAAAAGTCTGTAAACTGAAATGTGCTCCCTTTGCCTCTAATTTGCAGTGTTTTCTTCCAAAGTGCTGCTTTCACCAGCCTCTTATTGCCGCCCATGAACCGTCTCTCAAGTCTCTGCAAATTATCTGAGGCGTTAACAGCAACCCTCCTCTAAAGCCATTTATTATTGACTCAATTTCAACCGAAAATGATCGCATTAGAGTGTTATTGCACAAAATTGTTCAATCAATCTCTGGTGAACTTTACTACCCATGATATTCCTCGAGTAAAACAGATTTCTGCTGGATTTGGCCGAGTTAAAACCTCTGGATATGATTTGAGCTTTGACATTCTCTGTGTGTCGCTCACTCCTCCTTCCAGCCCTGAGCTGAATTTCAAGAATGAAGCATGTAGTATTATTTAATCCGTACTTGTAATCTTCAAATCCTCCTAAAATCCCCCCTTTGAAACTGGCAGCTGTGACCAGTCAGGGCTGTTGTAAGACCACCACTGCCTTTTTTATTTATAATTTCATCAGCTACTTTACAGTATACATTTGATTGTTTATAACTGCTTACCACTGATGGAATCAAACCACTCATCACTTTCATGACCAGCTATTGAAACTTCTACCTCCATGGCCCCTGTTGGAAGCAGCAACGTGTGCGGTTGAACTAGTGGCCAGAGAGGTAAAGCTTTGTGGTGGTGGGAGGCTGCGTCACCTCCACCCTCTCTGTACCTCATCTGTCACGGCGGCCAGGACAGGAAATCAAAGCGCAGCAGCCCTGTAAGCGCACGCCATTGGGCTAGGGCCCGCCATGATGAATAGCCTGTCAGCCGCGCTCAACGTTGCCAGTTTATTCGACGATAAATTTGGAAATGTCTGGATTTCCTCGCTGGACCACATTCCGGATCAGTGGTGCAGTCGGAGAGCGGTGGCAACTCCTGCTTGCTTTATCAACCACATTGCTCTGGGTTGGGAGTGTGTGTGTGTGTGTGTTTGTGTGTGTGAGAAGAGGAGGGAATGGAGCATTTTTATGCACATTTGTAAGTTGGAGGTGGACAGACAGTTGGCCTTTGCTCTAACTCAGCTCAAGGAACTCAAATGCCAAGAATAAATTTCAACTTCAAGTGGGAACATCTGATCTGATCGAATGAGGCCATTTTGCATCTTAGAAGTGGCATTCATCAAGATCTTTGAGCATCTACGAGGCTAAGTTAAGCACTCATTGTTACAGTGTACATGCACTACACTTTCCAAAGATCACCTGTCAATCAAACAGTTTGTTAAGAAGTATAACATCTTGTTTTTAATCCTGATTTATTTTTGGATGTTTAAAGCTTTTTAAAGCTCCTAATATTTAAAAAATATATATATTAACACTGGATCACATGACTGTGTGAGACAGTTTGTGAAAAGTAAGACCAATGCAGAATAATCTTAAACTTTGTTTCTCGCTAATGGCCAGCAGGGGGCGACGCCTCTGGTTACAAAAAGAAGTGTGACTGTATAGAAGTCTATGAGAAAATGAGTCTACTTCTCACTTGATTTATTACCTCAGTAAACATTGTAAACATGAGTTTATGGTCTCAATCTCTAGTTTCAAGTCTTCTTCAATACAGCATGATGTCATTTAGTTAATTATGATCCTATTTAGAGTCAGCTAAACCATAAAGCTGAGTATGCTTTAGACCAGGGGTATTCAATTACAATTCCAAAAGGTCCAGATTGAGAAAATCTCCTTGTCACAATAATATCTAACAATAATATCTAACTTGCTCTATTTAGTGCCATATATATATTCAAGAAGCCTAGCAGTAGTAACAACGTCTCTGTGTAGTCAACAACTGTCAAATCAAATAAAGAAAGTACACATCAATTATATTTTAACAAATTATTATTCTCAGCTTTCAAATTGAACTGGATGAATTATAAATAATAGATCTACATGAATAAATTCTCATTTCAAGTAAAATAAGGCTGGATTAAAGAATACAGAAATCTTTTGAAAAATGTGCATCTTAAAATAAAGTAATTCATTTAAGAAAAATGAACTTCACTGAATTGTCCTGCAGCTTTAGATTCAGTTCATTCAGGTGTGAAGTGATGTCAATCAAAAAAGCCACAATATTGTATTTTTCTCATCTTCTAATAAGATAAATCAGTGAGCATGGACTTTATGTGGTTATTAACACTTGTTTCAGCTTATCCTCTCTGTTAACATCATTGTTAGGCAGTGAACTCATGTGTTAGGATTCTGATCATTTTGGGCTCTTAGGTTTATTTTCTGTGTCTTCATTTCGATGTGAGTGGATACGTTTGCTAAAAACAATTATGCTTTGTCTCGTAGTGGCGCTTCACATTACCGCTTTTATTAACCGCTACGGTCTCTGAAAATATGAGACATACTGGTTTTAAACTACCCTGTGGAAAGAATTAACCTATAAGATTCTGTCTATTCTTGGTTAAAGCCTCTGGTCTCTCTGATGACTTTTCTCTCTTTGGAGAACGTCATATGAAATAACTTCTCTGACTCACGTAATTCTCCTGCTCTTCCTCTTCTTCGTTCTCTCTCCTCGTCTCTCCCCCGTGTGTGTACATCTCACTCGAGTCAGGAAACTTGTCAGAATACCCGTATTTGATTGGCTGAGCTGCATCACCTGATGTGATTTACAACACATTTGGTCGTTGTGTTTCCTGCACCGCTGAACAAGTGCCGTAAAGGCTGAAAAAGCTGCTCCAGTTAAAATATAAAAATGTAATACGTCTCAATTATCTATCGGTTTTAGGTCCGGATACAACTGTGTCTGGGTCCGCCTATTAGTGATCCCTGCTTTAGGGCGTGGCTCCCTTGTCTTTGACAGGTTGCTACTACTACCAGAGCCGTATATGGCTTCTCTATGTCACTCCCCTGTAGTTGTAATATGGTTTTTAAAAAAGCCAATATGTCGACAGCCATAATCCAAGATGGCGACGGCCCAAACGCCGAACTCGAGGCTTGAAAACGAACCAAACAAACCAATGGGTGACGTCACGGGGACTACATCCACTTCTTATATATACAGTCTATGTGATGAACCAACAAAGAATTATCACCCTCTGAATCGTCCTTCAGTTATACAGAGCTTTTGTGCCTCTTTTGTCTCAGTAGATGGTTTGTTACACAGAACCATTTGAGAAAGAGTCATTGAAAGCTGTTTTGTTAAAGGGCATCCACAAAAAATAATTGGGAGGTGTTTGGATGAATCATCTGTTAATCAAACTCTTGCCAAATCGAAACAGGAGAAGAGCGAAACATCTTTTCTATCAAGAAAAGCTTTCAGTGCCTTTCTCTGCTTTTCTTTCAATGAAGAAATGTTCTCCAGCTCTGATATAACGGATGCTATTGCAGTTTCTACGCTAACCTCTTCAGGAGCCTCCATTGTTGTTCTGAACAAGCAGTCGCCTCTCCGTGTCATCTCGCATACACCTAAACCACACCCATAGCTGCCAGTAGCTGCCAGTAGCTCCTCCTTTGAGGCAGTAGCACCAAGGCTGTGGAAGAACAGTTCTGGAGCCTGAAGAGCCAGATATTTTCTCGGGAGTTGGTGGAGACCAAAAACAAGCTTCAAGGAGAGTAAATATTGGACTTATCGGGTAGCCAGAAAAATGACTCCAAATGAATGCTTATGTTGCTCCTTGTCTACTGAATGTGAAAATAGGCAATGTTTGCTGACACGTGCATTACAACAACTTCTTTAATGTAAATAACAGTTGTTTTTTTTAGTGCGGTCTGCTGCCGTCAAGTGGACAAAAACAAATCAGTTGCTGCAGCTTTTAGTTTTCTTTTGTTTGTCTGCTCATATATTAGCTCTCATGCTACATAGCACTTTATCTGTTTTTCCAAAATAACCTAGACATTTTTAACGTCACTTCATGTTCAGCTAAACGTGTCATTAATATAACACAATATGTTGGATGACTCATCTACAGAGATCCTAAACTTGGTGTCATATAAGTGCAACCGTCAGCAATGTTGCTTTTTACAGCACATGTCGCGTATTATCATTAACGTGTCACTTTGATTTGCTTATGAATAATTCAATCATTGCTTCCTGGATGTGAGAAGCAGACATTTCCAACAATTTGTC